ACTTTTAATTATTTGTTCTTTGACCTGAAGCTCATGGATTTCCAGGACATGTTTTAGACGTATGGAATATTTGTTTTGGATTTTCCATGGTTTAAATATTAATTTTAACTAATCAGAGCTAATTTGAAATCAATAAACCCTTCCAATCTCTCTCTAGGACCCATGCAAGTGTTAAAAAAAAAAAACCTACACAATTTTCTAAGTCAAAGATCATTTTACAGGCAAGTGTAGGAAGCACCCACATTTAGCAAACTGAATCTTTAGTTGTGCAGCTTTCAATTGTCAAATGCCTTAACGATGGAAAAACAAAAGACAAGAACTTAGACCTCCTAGGTTTCCAGCATGTTATCACTATTAGACATGTGACCTTAATTTAAACAAATCTGTAAACCACACTAAATCTCAGTGTCCCCAACTGAGTAATGAAGTGTTTGTTGGACTCTCTCTTAGGTCTATAAACACACATATCATTTTATTATGGTCCATCTTCTTCCATAAGTTTTCCTTATTTATCAACAAGATTATGAATTACTTAAGGATGTGTCATAAACTTTCTTCTTTTGTCTTCCAGAATGCTGTTAAACACAAAAAAGCTGATCAGCAGTCAACTGGATTGAAATAAATCAAGGCTCCTCATGCTCCTCTTCCAAGAATGTGAAAACTTTCCCAAATTTATGTAAACAAAGCTCTTCAGCAATCAGAACAATATAGTGCACTTATATGTGGTTTTCTTTTCCTTTTTTATGTTATTGCTCAGTTTGTGATCCCTTAAATAATGTATGTTTGCATGTATTTAAAACAATCTATGCTTTTTTTCACTCTCGTTAAAAATTCTAATGGTTTTGCACATGATTTCCCGAAGTGAAATTTTCATGAAATTGGAAAATACTCAATTTCTGTTTGCACTGAATGGTTTAAAATGCATGACAATTAACAAATGAGTCACATGCATCCCCTTCCTGTAACTAATGCACTGCAAGCTGATTTCATCAATTACAGAAAGGATGTGCTCTCCACTTTACCAAGCATCCAGGTTTCTCAGACTTCTCACCTTTTTGTGGGGGGTTTGTTTTGGTTTGGTTGCTGCTTTCTCACTGTCTTTCTGTGTGTTCTATTCATAAATTGTCTCCAGCAAATTATAGAAAAGGTGTCTTCCTTCTCTATTGCCACTTTGGGATCTATACTTAACTGCAGGGTAACAGCAACAGAAGCCATAACTAACAGAGCCAACTCTAGCCCTCTAAATCTGCAACTACAGCTTGGGAAGAATCTTGTATCAGGGTGTTACATGCTAGATTTAATGTGAATGTTGTAGTCTGAAGCGAAAATTATTTGTACAGCTGGAATATAACATTTGCATAAGTTACAATTAAAAGGGAAAATATAATTACAAATTTTCAACTTAATTTGAATGGTTTTTAAAATGCTCATTTGGCATAGGCAACAGCTTGCAGGCAAACAGAACACACTCTCGGAGTTGCATCCCTTTGTCTGGATAGCAGTAGCGAGCTCATTTTGAAGGGCTTGCTTTAACCCCCGAATCCCAACAGCAACCAGCATTGAGAACGGAAGTACAAGGCAATGTTTGTTTTCAAATAGGATTACAACATACACAGTGATTCATAAATATTTGCATCTTTTAATTGTTTCTAAAAATGAAGTGGCAAGTGGCATCGCACAGGAATGTTATTTCTCCCGTGGAGCGAATGAGCAGTGGAATTTTAACTAGTTTCACTCCCTTTCAGCTCTCAGATCTGAGATCTTCGGTCACATCTCCTGTACAATGTTTTCCTCATATCACAGTCTCTTTAATGGCTTCAGTTTCTGGGTTTTTTTTTTTTTTCCTTCCTTAATTACATGTCTTTTTCTTATAGCTACTTCATGCTGAAGGCATGTCATTCTTCCCAGAGACCATCTCTGCTAGATGTCCATGGGCCAAGTCCATTTGTTCGTTTGTTTTCAGGATTTCTTTTATAAAAGGCAAAGGAATCCTTTTATTACCCTCAAAACACAAAAATCAAAATGTTCATAGTATACTTTGTGTAGCATGTTTACCTGAAACCCTGCTTCCCCGAAGTCATGATATCTGTGATTATCATGTAACATGCACTGTGTCACATCAATGAGTTTTGAAAAAGAGAGGAAAAAGAAAAAATTATTCCATTCTGTGTTTCCCAGAAAAAAAAAATGCATCCAAAAAGACATATAAACAAAAAAATTACTATGACTACAAATTACACAATTAGCTATGCCTTTCTATTTTCCTGGCCCTTCTTTTCACAGATATCTCCAAATGAGACACCAGAAGATATACTCTTGAAAAAAGAAAACCAAATTATAAAACTGATGCTTTGCTCTATTTACCCTAGAATCTGAAAAGGAGATTCTATGGTGAGCAGAAAAACATAAAGTAATAATGGAACCTGATTTTATCTTTTTCCCGAGAAATCACAAAGGTACTCAGTTCATTGAGGGTATTATTAAGTAGCATGATTTTTTTTTTCATCACAGAAACCCTGTTTGTTGAAGGAATAACAAATACAGGACAATGCAACTTAGAATTACTTGCTGAAACTAATGAGGAAACTACCTATGCAATGCCCTTGTGGATGGTCAGCTTTTGGGCAAAAGACTTAGAATAACTTCATTGCTCAAAACTGAGATATAAATGTAATGCATATATATGATAAATAGAGATAAATCTAATTTATATTTTAAAAAATTCCAAGGTTTCATAAATGTTATCTGAGCCTACATGCTTCTTTCAACCTCCTAGTCCACCAGCTTTCCCATTTTTTCCTCTTTGGTGCATAATGAAGAATTGTATCAGATCCTAAGTTTATATTTAAAGTCACAAGCCAGAGGCAGCCCATTTCCTAGAAATATATTTCCCAAAAGGTAGAACATTTACCACTGGTGAAATAATTTATTTGCCATATACCCCAATATGTTAATTGTCTATTTTTAAAAAGATCACGCACTATTGCTTTCACCAATTTTATCAAATCAATCAAGGAATAAGGCTAAATCGTTCCCTTTTAAATTGATTTAAAGAAAATACTGAGAAAAAGAGCATAGATAGTATACAGATATAGCAAAGATCATGAAAGAGGTATGTAGATGACCAAAGTTGAGGAAACAGTGCCCTAGAAAAATCATTTGTCCATCAGTGTCTGAATTCTTAAGAAAAAAAAGTACTTCTCAAAAATATTTTTGGAAGAAAATTAAAACCCCAGGAAAGAGCAAAATATTTCCAGTTTTTGCTTTTCTCCTCAATTCATGAAAAACATATCTCAAAGAGACTAGAGGCGCCACTGAACAGGGACTTTTCTTGAATGCAGAGAGTGGATTTAGAGCAGGCACTCTCAGGAAGATGCAGGAATCTTTTGAGGAGGAACCTCCCTGCAAGCCAAAGGGTAAGGGAGAGGCTCTGAGTTGTGGAGATGATAAGGGTTCGTTCCAGGGACTCAGCAGGTTGCATCAGGCCAGGATTGGAGCCATTTGGCCACCAGGGAAGGACCACTCACAAATGAGACACACTGCATGGGGCTCCCATGGGGGGAGCAACCGAGGGTATCTGCATAGCCAGACATCCTTGTCTCCCAAGCTCCAGGCCACTGCAGATCTCAGGCTCTCTCTCCCTCCCTCCTGATTCCCCTCCCCCTTCCTTTCTCTCTCTCTCTCTCCTGTCCTTCACCAACTGAACTGACTATAACCCCATAGAAGTCTATTATTTCATTATTTAATTTCTTTATGTAATAAAGTTTTTTGTTCTCTCTTTTGTGTTTTAAATGTGGGTGATTTCAAAGTTTTATATTTCCAATTCTCTCAGAAGGCTAGGATTAGGCTTAAAAAAAAAAGTCATAAGTTGGTTTTTACTTGTCTATGGTCCTAGGATAGATATTTTGTGTGATTCTGTGCCCATTCCCGCCCCTGCTGTAGAAAATAGAACGATAGTCAGTTCTGAAGTAAAAGGATCCTTTTTCCCCCTCTTGGAGGGAAGAATACTACATGTAACCCATTATAAGAGTATTGTGGGAGTGGAAAAAACAAAGATGACCCTGGAGAGGGGTGCTTCTGAGAACCACTGTGTTTTGGTGTTCCTTGAATGTGAAGAAGAAGAAGAAGTCATGCCATTTCCAATGACAGTCAAGGGAAATCTAGAGTCACTCACCATTAAGACAAAATAACTCATTCTTAAAGTGTTTCTTTAAATCCTTGTTTCATATAAGCTATACCTTCTAGAGCAGATGCCAGAATGAATGGGTAGGTCAGCACAGGGGCTTCACAGGAATTCCCCAGAGCCCTGCCTTTGGAGGGGAGCATTAGAGAGTGGGAAAAGGGCAGTGGGGGACACTCCCCAGGCTCCACCACCCCTGCAGCCACCACAGCTCCACTTTTATCTGTTTCACATATAGCAGCCATTGAAGATTTCATTTGGCAAAAAGGATCCCACTATTTTGAAACCTTGGAAGATCATAGGAATAGAACAAGTCATGTGCCTGGAATGACCCTGAAACAATGGAGAACAAATAAGTATGGTGAACATTTCTTCAGATTAATCATTTCTTTCTAATTCCTCAAAAGAATCATGGAATTATATGCTGGTCCCCTGTGGGGTCCACTACCCTTGGGCCTTGGAAATCGTGCCCCACTCTCCTCCCCTTCCAGTCCTTGGGTGGGGGATGGAGAGCAGGTGAAGCAGCGTAGGGATGGGGGGACACATAGAACAGATTGATTGGGTTGCCCGCCCCTCTAGTTTTATATAAACTTACCAAAGAACTAAGACCTCTGTTCTGACAAGAGTCAGATAAGTCTGTCTTACAAAGTTGACAACTTTCAAACATGGTTTGGGTAAAAAAGACTCATTAATTTCAAATGGGCATTTGATTCCCAAAGGGAAGGCATACTTCAACTGGAGCATCATTATGTCACAGAAGAACTCCATTAGCATGCCAGTTAGAAGGGAGTCATCAGAGTAGGTAAAATAAAATGTAAAAAACTGCCTAATATGAAAGCTGGAGAGCCTCCAAAATCATTAGAGATGACCACACTTGGCATGCAGCTCCTTAGGCTAAGAGTTAGTGCATTCATAACCTTCACAGCTGGGAGGTGGCTGGGAGATTTGATATAGGGCCCAAAGACTGGTTAACCTGGATGAAGCCATTCAACACAATCAGGTTGTGAAGTCATCTGCATGGTGGGGTCCTCTAGAACCTCTTGGGGCCACTCCATAGAATAACACTCAAGAATCATCTTCACTCCTCCAGGAGCAGAGGGTGGGAACAGGTGTAGAGATGTGAAACTATCATGAAAAATGAGGAGAATGAAACCAATTCTGATATTGGGCATTATCAATAATTAATTTGCATTAAAGCCATGAAAGCAGAGTCTTGTCCCAAAAAATATTACGAGAGGCGAGTCCACAGACTACCCACAGACCAAGGAGATGTCAAGGAGACTTTGAAGCACAGACTGTAAACTTCCACTCAACAGGAGTATCAGAGAGCTCTTTTATATAGAGCTCTTGTTTGTTAAAGTTGTCACTAGTCCCCCACGCTCCCATGCCTATCCTTTCCTACAAAATAAAGTCCAAATCCATTACTATCAAGGCTCTTCAAAGTCAAGCCCATTCTCTTTGCCCAGCCTTTTTTCTTGCCACGTCTTGGCCTGCCCCTGTCTTGCAGGGCGTGCAGATTGTATGGCCCCTTGGTCTGATTATGTCCTTTTCAAAGCCTCTGACTGGCAAAATCATATTCATCTTTCAGGGTGCATTTCAAATCTCACTTTCTTCCCTAAAGAGTTCCAAACTCCTCCTTTGTGTTATAGACATAGTTCAAGTATTGAAGAAGGGTGTAGGGAGAACAGTCCTCGTTGAGCCTAAGATCACTCATAATTGCACACATCTAGCAAACCAGTGGTGTGCACCAGGAATCTCTGCACATGGCCACTGAGGGGGTAACCAGCCCCAGGATAAGAGTAGAAGGGAGATGTGGAGCATGGTATTGATCTCTTGCATGTGAGGGCCCACTCGTCTCTCTCTGGTCTCAGTGGAGATGAGGATAATAGTATTCCTGCCTCGTGGGCCTGTTGTGAGAATGACACAAGTTAATGTACGGAAAGCTCTCCCAGTGGTGTCAGGCACACAATGAGCACCATGTAAGTATCAGCTATCACATTTAGGAAGAGAGATGGTGGTAAGTAAAAGTGGAAAGTTCTTGCATTTGGGGATATAAGCAGCACTAACTCAGAACCACTATGTTGAGAGAAAACAAAAAAGAGGATGTTCTTCCTAACTCCACCATTGACCAGAGGCAGCTTGGCTCATTGAAGTGGTGGCATCTAGTGGGACTGAAAGGAAGGGTCGTCCCAGAAAAAGGTTCTGATGCTCTACAGAAGTGGCTGCAATGTGGCCAAGTGGTCTCTGTGACAGCCAGAGGTGGTGTCACAAGAAGTCCAAGCAAGGTGTCCATTGGTGCAGAACCATGCCATAGGTGCAGTGGAGGAGCCGGAGGGAAGCAGTGACATCCAGCAGCAGAAGCAACATAAGAAGGCCAACACTCCATGACACCAGGGGTCAGGGTGTTAGCTCGCTCACACACCATGGGGGGAATTCCCTGGGTCAACCGGAAATACGTGGGGGTGGAGTTTGCCAGGTCCTCTGAGGCCAGTGTGATAAATCCCTCAAATTGTTAGTGTGATCTCGTTTTTCCAGAAGAGGGATGTTGAGAAATCTTTAAAAGCACAAGCTCTGGATTCAGCCAGGCTTATGCTCCATGCAACTGAAGACACTTTCTGAGCACCTGCTCCTGGCCTCCAGTCAGTGGAAACAACACAGCCAGCAAAGAAAAGGATTCCTCCTCACAGGGGCGGGCCCTTACCGAGGGGAACACAGACAAGAAACAAGAAAATAAATAAATTCACAAGGTCATAAGAACTTGTCATAAGAACTATGAAGACGTAAAATGGGTCCTGTCGTAAGAACTGTGTAGACGATAAAACAGGTGATGAAAGGTTCAAATAGGGAAGAGGGGAACTACTTAAATCTGGAAGCCAAGTCAGTCTCTGATGCACAGGGTGGCTCCATGGCCAGGAAGAAGCAGCCCGGGGAAGACTAGGAAACAGTGTGGGGCCCTAAGGTAGGAAAAGCTTGGTAAATTGGAGAGACACAAAGACAGTAAGTCTAAAACAACCATCAGCAAACTGCAGTCTGTAGGCCAAACCCAGCCTGCTGCCTGTTTATCTAAATAAAGTTTTATTGGAACACAACCACACTCGTTTGTTCATTTATAATCTGTGGCTGCTTTCATGCTGTGACAGCAAGGTTGAGCAGTTGTGACAGAGACTGTATGGTCTGCAGAGCCTAAAATATTTGCTACCTGGCCCTTTACAGAAGCAATATTGTGATCCCTGGCCTAAAGCACAGTGAACAAGCAAGGGAGACAGCAGTAAGAAGCAAAGCTTAAGGAGGGTGGGGGGGTGGGGGTGGCAAACTCCGCAGGGTCTGCATAGCCATGGATAACGGCTCAGATCATGTTCTCAGTGTAATGGGAAGCCACCAAAGGGGCCACGCCCGGGAGACACGTGACCTGATTTATGTTCATACAAGCAGCCCTGGGAGCTGTGTGGAGAAGGACCCTAGAAGCAAAGGGAACAGGGAAGCCAATCAGGCGGCTACTGCAGAGCCCAGTGAGAGACGAAGGTGTCAGGGATGAGGATGGTAAGAGTGCAGAGGGATAAGTGGTATTTTAGATACTGTTTTGAGTGTAACAGGCATAAGAATCCATCCCTACTCCATTGTGTAATCTCAGGCAATTATTCAAACTCTTTAAGCCTCAATTTCTTCTCAGTAAAACCATTGCATGGATTAAATACATCTGAGGTGCCTGCCAAACAATAAATGTTCGATAAATGTTGGCTACCATTACTGTTGTTGTCGTCGTTGTTGTTGACTGGCAAGGCCTATGGAAAAATCGCATATAGCACGCAGCTCCTTGTGGCAGGTAGTGGTGCGCTTCTCTCTCTGGTTAGATTCGTGAGTTCCCTGGGGACAGGGAAGCTCTGTTATTCATTTTATATCCCCAAAACTGTGCCTGGCACACAGATATTTAATAAATGTTTATTGATTAAACCATTACATTTTTAAGAAAACAGGAGTATTACTCGTTCTGCCATTTTTCACCAGAAGTGTTTTGTTTTTAGGATTGATACAGTACATTTTTATGACACAGAACCAGTCTGAAGATACAGAGACAGTTGTCCCTACGGAGAGCTGGTACCCAGCAGCCTGTCCCAGCAGAAAGAAAAACCCAAATGGTACTCTTCAGAAAACCTCTAGCCTGATAAAATATGTCAATGACTGCAATAATATAGTGAATCTGGACTGAAACCTCTCCACTAACAAGAAATTCAATCTTATCAGATATACCCACATTATCAAAAATCTCTTCCACAAAAATGGATCCAACCAGAGTCAAAAAGCATTCTTCTAATGTGTCAAGCTATTTTCAGACTTTTATTTCAAACCAGTTGGACATTCTGAGCTCTTGTCCAGCCATATCGAAGGGTCCTCTATTTTGCGTTATTGCCCCTTTGCTTTTATTGATTCATTATTCTGACTATAAAACTAAAAAGACTTCGACTAAAATTGAGACTTCAGAATTGTTTGTCAGCTTTCTTATTCTTTAGCATTACCACTTACTAAAAGACTAGAAATCTACTCTTTTTAAGAAGTTACATTTTGACATCATAAAAGGATCAATACCATCTAAATGATGATTTCAAGTGAAATTAAATGTGTCATACAAATTTTCAAATGAAAAAGGACCCCTATAAAACAAATATGTACTTCTAAGTGACAATTTTATTTCTTAAAAAGTGGTTAGATACCATAGTGGTCATACAACACAAAATTATAAAATCCTCAAAGGGCCAACAGGTAAAATATTACCATGTACACCTGTTGTATTCACAGTAGTTAAATGTGTTCTTACTATTAATATAGCAAACATATCTAAACAAATTAACTAGAATGCCTTAAAAATTAACAAAATAAGAATAGGTGAGAAAATGTCTTAGAGGTGGTCACCATATCATATCAGTACTGTGCAAACTCATTAATGTAGCTAACAAACTCTAAAAGAATGAGAAAATGAAAATAAAAATATTATTTAAAATGACAGGACAGAAAAGATGAGAATCCCTTACAATAATAAAGAAAAGGTAGAAATCCTGGAAACATCATGGAGCAGCCATGAGGAGGGAGTTTTGGTTTTTTTTAACACGAAGCCTGGCATCTCACAAATAACGTATGTTCCATATTATGTGGCAGTTGCTATGGTAACAACCTTTATTTTCTGAAACAGTACACAGATGTGTACAACATACTAACTTGCTGGTTATAAATTACAGCTTTTTCCCATAGTTCAATAACTTAAGAATTCTACGTTTTTGGAATCTCAGTTCTGTTGTTATTAAATTTCTTTTATGAGATAATTCTCCTCGTACTTTCAAAATAAGTGTGTTCCCAAACAGGCCAAGAAAAAGAAACAACGAGAAAATGGGGTATATCAGAGACTAGCAGTGGACCGAGTACTGTTTCTGTAAAGAGTCTGTGTGACACCCACGGATAGCAGGAGAAAATTATTTTAACGAATTAGGCGTCATGTACAATAGCCATGAGAAATAAGTTGCGAGCAAAATGATGTCACAAATAAAGTTATGAATTGATTTCTTATTACAAGGTGCCATATTTGCAGTTTTAAAATAAATGAAGATTTTTTTTCTTAGAAATGTTACAAGCATTAATATAATTTTACAAGGTACAATGGTGTGGGAGTGTGAATTAGCCTGGTTATTTGACGTCAAATGAAATTATTTGACTCTTGAAAAGACCTGAGTCTAGGAGAAAATTTATATTACTATATTTAATAAGAGATTAATGACCCTTTGTCAGGTTACAAAACAAAAAGACAGACTTTTATTGACTGAGATATTTCTTTTTATAGTGTAACCTTAGCCAACAAATAATTAAAAAGTGCCTTCTGCATGCAGGGAATCTACTGTCCATGCCTAGATGCCTATTAATATGTGTAGAGATATAAGTTATAGAAAAGTTCAGTTCTGTAGATATTTTTTTCTATTCTGAAAATTTATATTATGCTTTCCATGTGCTCAAACTGAATAGTTTCTTTAAAAAGGTAGTTCACATTATAGATTTTTAAACCTTATCAAAAAGAATCATCTCTGCAATAGTTATCAGATTAAAATTCATGACCTGGGAAACGTATTTGAAAAATAAGGGGGCATAGTTAGCATTTACAGTCAAAAACTATCTTTATAAAATAAGAAAAATATTTCTAAGGAAAGTGTAAATATATACTTATATAAAAAGTAACAAAGCACTCCTGATTTAGAAAGTCCAGAAATGACACTGCTAATGGATTTTCCTAATAAAACATAAAACGCCTGGAAATGCTATTTCAAGTCACAATACAGTTACATTCAAATTTGAAATTGTCTTATAGCAGCAATGACAATGAGAAACGATTGAATACCGTGCAGATAAGAACAAATCATTTTGAAAACCTTGCACCACTAAGTGGTTGTTAAAACTTTTGCTAATGCTTTTCACACACACTCCTTCTGTATCTTTTCAAGCTATATTAAAAACAGGACCATGACTAATCCATTCAAATCCTTATGTGATCAGAGAGAGAAAGAGAAAGAGAGAGAGGGAGTGTTAAGTTATCACCTAATGGGCACTGAGAGGCTAGAACCCAGTACTCACTAGAAAAAGAGTACTTCACTGCTAGGTGCATTTTAAAAGTGTTACTTAAATTACATTTAAGTCATCAGATAATTATGAACTTTCTTCTCTTTTATATTTATATGGCATATTTATTGAATTGCACAGTATGCTTTTACAATAAAGTGCTTTTTACGTTGCCGCCTTTGTTCATCCAAAATAAAACTGACAGTTATCCTTTTATAAGCTATTCTGAGAACATTTTCTCTTCTTTGAAGCTGATTGATGCACTACTTTAAATGTTCCTGCAAATATCTTTTCAATTCAAGTTTTTGCATAATGTAATAAGAAGATAAAAGAATTCTATACTTCAACAAGAGACATTACAAAGCAAGTAGAGACATTATCAAGGGCATTAACATGCTCCTAATAGCAATAAAACCTTTTAACTGTCTGATGTAGAACATGCTCCCACCGAACCACCACATATTATGGTAATTGGCTCCAATTTCTGATTCTTACATTGTAAAGTTACAAAGAGTTAGGTAGAACTGAAAAACAAATCTCGAATACTCATGTTGTTACCGTTCCCATTATGAAATGTTTGCTTTCTGTCTCTAACGAGGGCTGGTCTGGTCTGCTGCGCTGCTCTTTACTGTGCTATCATATTTTTGCTTCCCGTCTCATTTTTATTTCTACTGACTGATATAAATACGTTTTTCCCCCCCCAAATAACCCTTTTCTAACTCCAAAACATCACAGCAACACAAATAAGCGTTTTCCTCAGAATTTCAGGGTAACAAATGGGTTCTCTGTGCGTGCCTGTGTCACATTTCATTCACTTTCTGTGTTCTCTCATGACGGGAAGATACAATGGGGAAAAACATTCCATGAGGACGCCTGGATTTTTCTTCACAACGCACCACTAAATTACATGAGTGGCCTTTCCATCCTGGCCGAGGGGAAATATAATTTCAAACCAAAGTTGAGCCCAGATTCTGTTAAATTAAATAGCAAAGAAAAAATAGTTCTTGGCTTTATTCTTCTCAGACAGGAAGCAGGGCCGTGGGGAATTGACACGAGCCGTTCCTTGGTGATTAACCTGCAGTTTATGGTTGTGTTTCTAGGTGACGTGCCCATCATGAAGGAAGCTTCTCTGAGGCTGGCGAGAGCAACTTGTCTGCTTTGAGAAATGCAGATCTATCAGGACCCAGAGCCGGGCTCTGAGAAAGCTGTCATTTCATGTCTCTAAAACAGCCTCTGATTTAATGTACAAGATGTCAAGAAGTAAAGGACAATAAAATAAAAACCAAAAAGGAAGAACTATTTCAATTAAGAAGCATTTCTATACCAATTCTTGGAAATCACATAAAATAAAAGCTGTCAGAATCAATCTGTGTTCAAAAGGTTGATTTCTGTGGTGCTTACATACAACATGCAAGACAGGAAAAAAATGCAAATTAACACAGAGCCGAACTTTAGAAATCTCTTTCTCACTAGATAGATATTTGGTTATTACATTTTTCCTAATGGATCTAGGAAAAATGTTTGTATGGCAGGTTCTGGAGTTAAGGAGAGAAGGAAAGAAAGAAATCCTCATACAGGAAAAAAAGCCACACATTATAATCTCCAGTCCTATAACAAGAAGGAAGAAGTTTCATGCATTTCCAAGAATTTAATCCTTAATTGCCAGTAATTAAAAGCTTCATATAAGAGTCTAGGAATCTACCTTTTATTGCTATGGTTTTTGAATGATATTTGAGTGTCTTGTTCAGAGAAAGATAAATATTTCTTCAAGCACTGCCTTATCACTCTAGTAATCAAATATCCTAAAGGTGAATTGAGAAAAAAATCTTTATGAAATCTGAGGCAACCTTTTTAGCTGAGAGCATAATAATATTACATAGAATATAAGCATTGCCAAGAATAAATAAATAAATCTCATCCAAATGTGACTTCTTATGGTGAAAGACAACACTTTCATTTTCATTTGGTTTGTTTGTTTAGGGACTTTTTTTTCCCTCAAATTTATTTTTTTTTAAATTGACAAATAAAATTATATGGATTTATCATGATGTTTTGAAGTATATATACATTGTGAAATGGGTAAAGCTAGCTAACTGGTATATGTTCATTTGTTTTTAAAATATACTGTTTAAGAGGCATACATTATAGTTCTAATTTTTCTCCTGTTTTTAGAATCTTTATTATGTTATGCTTTTTATCCCACGTTTTCTATTGAGAAGGATATTGGACAGGCAAAGAAAAGATGAATTCACTTGCTGTTCCCCAGTTGATTTGTGTATTTCAGGGGTATGCTCCTTTGAATGGTCTATTTCTGGCACTTTTATAAAAAAAAATTTCAAGTTTTTCTGAAGGGGAATACTTTAAGAAGAAAGAATTCCTTTATCATCAAATCAAGAACTTTTCTTAAAGTAAGTTTTCCACAAGCAATAGGAGAAACAGCCTAAGAACTGCCTCCAATCAAAAGAAGAAAAATAACAAAATCAGCTCACTCGTGATTTCCTTAATATACTTAAAAGAGATAAAATCCCATTGATGCCTCTAAAAATAAAAACGAGGGAAGGGCAACTGTATTGATTCTCCGCAAACCAACGAACGTGTAGCTTATTGATAACACTAAACACCATCTAAGCCTTTAGTGATTTTCAACCAAAAGGCTGCCTCTGAATGAAGGTTTAAATCATTGTATTAATATATTAAGGGGGAAAATTACCATGGGAGACACTTGGAAATTAATTAAAAACCCTGCACTCAGTTTGTTTGTGAGAGAAGATAAATATCACACATGGGAAAAGATGCCTGACAACCGCCATAGTTTTCAGATCCAAAATTAGACCCTGACAGCTATGTCTTTGTATGACTCTCCTTGGGGTATGATAAGCAGAGATATAGAATATGAAGATTTCTGATAGAAGTATTTATTACTGACACTTCCGAAACATTCCATGTGTGGCACCAGCAAAGCATGCTTCACCTCAGACAGAAATGTCAGGTTTTCTTCCAAGATTTGTTTTTTTCTATTCCTCTTCCCCCATTCCCATCCCTCCCTCTCCATCCCCCACTACCCCCCTTCTCCTCCAAAATATAATCTTTTTTTAGAAGTTCAACAGCAGCCCCTGGTGGAACTCAGCAGTTGTTTCAGCCTGAGCACAGTTGTTCGAGCAGCTCCATTCACCATGTCAATAAAAAGAGAAGTCTGTCCATGTGTACATTTCCACATCAGCGTGCTGCTTCTGCAAGCCAAGGGTCGGAATATGACCCCAAATATACAAATGCAGTACTTTGTGATGGTAATTTTGGCCAATTTCAGTAGCTGGAGTTTTGATACTATATATGTGTGTAACAAACAATAAACATCTGCCTCAAATGTCACATTCATTTTATGCATGAAGACCAATAATTAACTGCTCGTGAATAACGCTTACCACAAAGTGCATCAAAATGAAGAGGTTCCACACATACGAGTGGGTGATCACTATTTTGTTTGGCTCTTGATGTGACAGATTCAGCTTTGTCACTTAGCAAAATGAGCTATACAAAGTGACAAAGAAGGGATTTCTCTGGGTCAGAGCTCATATAGCACCACTGTCTGGCCCCGTCAGAGTGGCAAGCTGGGCTTAACAAGAAAGCCCACCAAGATGCTCTTTGGAGAGACTGAATCTACTCCTTTTCCTGCTCCGTTGGCAGCCCCAGATTACCATTTGGAGGCCAGATGTGTGGCTCTTTGTTTGCATCAGGCAGAGAAAGTCTGTGCACTTCACAAACGTGCCCATAGAGGCAGCTTTTGCTAAGCCCTGTGCCTTTGGGGCTGCATCTCCCCAAAGGGGTCGCTTCCTAATTCACACAAAGATGCCATCTCGGCTAGTGATGGCCCTGGTGCTGGACAAGAAGAGAGAGATTACATAGAGAAGATCACTCTCCTGACTACATTCTCAAGTGCCAAAGTTGGGGGAAATAGCAGGCATTCCCCCTCCATGAGGCTCATGTTAGGACAAAGGAACAACTGGAAATTTACTCAAAAGACCCAATGGTTTACTTGGATAAATTTATTCAATATCCTTCACTTGTATATTTTGACTTTTTTCTTCTTAAATGATGCAGTTTTTTAAGAGGAAAAGTAAATAATACTTTAAGAGTCTAAAATAGACTTATGATAAACACTCGAATAGAATAAATACTGTTTTATGTGACAAAGTGGTTTTTAAATTTTGAAAGTATTGTACTTCTCATTAGCCCTTCACTTGCCCTGAAGCCACTTGGATCTCTTGACAGATCTCAAGTGAAACTGAATCAGTGAGTTGATGTGTGGAGACCAGAGAGCACCCCATGGTAGGCTACTTGCTGCATGCCCAGTGGGTACTCACTCGCCAAGCACTGGAGCGTAAGAGATGTAAAAAGAAATAAGACTTAGTCCTCAATAAGTCACAATCTAGTAAAGGAGACATATATATATTTAGATAGTTTTAATACAATGTGGTGGCAATGTGCAGAGTACTAAGAGACAGAGGGGGATCCTTAGCTCAGCCAAGGGTCATCAAAGGCTTTCTAGAGGGATGACACGTGCACTGAGTCCTAAGAAAGATCACAAATTAGCTACAGAAGGAGAAAGAGAGGGCATTATAGGAGGATAGTCACCATGACACAAGTGGCGACGGTGTAAATCTACATGGTATACCCAAAGAACTACAGGCAGGAGGATATTGCTGGAGCATAAAACACAAGATGGGAGTGACAGGAGGAGAGGCTAGAGATGTGGGAAGAAAGGCCAGTCATGGAAAGCCTTCTTTGTCCTCCCATTGAGACTGTATCTGTCCCCTGGGCCATGGAGAACAATGAAAAAAGACTATAAGAGGGAGGACTCAGGCTGAAGGTCAGAAGACTGACCAGGAATTTGTTGTGATCATCCCAGAGAAAGAGGACAAGGACCTAAATTCTGGTATGGCAAATGGGTCTGGAGAGGAAATGGTAAGTTTAAGAAATATTCAGAGGTCAAAACTGAGAGCACTTGGTGGTTTATTGGACATGGACCATGAGGGAGGTCTCTTGGATGACTCCCAGGTTTCAGGCATAGAACACAACATGGACTGTGGTGCCATCAACTGGGTTAGAGACTGCAGGGGCTGGACTAGGTCTGAGAGGAGAAGATGACACTCTAAAGAAGTACTTCTTGGAAAATGTCCTCAAGTACCCTCCACTGGCCTCCAGACAGCTCCTTGTAACACTGATTATTAACACTGCCCTCAAAAGTCACAGCTAGAGAGGGGCCTAATAGAGCACTAAATCTGGTTGCTCTCACTGTGCACTGTGGGGTGGAGGGGGTGCTGCAGCAGGCAGGGCTCTGGGGTGCAGGAGGAGGCAGGGCTCCAGGTTGCCTCCCCAGATCCAACCCAAGAGAGTCTACTTTTACCTATTGTGTATATTAGAATTTTTATAAGACTTAATTTGAAAACAGGAAATCACAGTCTGAAAAACACTGACAACCTCTTCCTTCTACATAGAGGAAACTGAGTCCCACAGAGGTGAAATAACTTGTCCACAGACACTAGTTTGTAGCAGAGGCTGGGTTAGATCTATGACACTTAGCATCAAAAAACTACTCATTAAAAGTGCTCCAAAGTTTCTTTAGCTTTATTCATTAATAAATAGCTACTGAGCATCTTCTGCATGCCAAACTCTCTTTTACCAAAATCACTGTTTGGATCTCCAGTTGTAATTTGATTCTTTGGTAGAGTTCTGACAGTGACCCCAATTGGTATTCAACTATAACTGGATGTGGTATGATCCAAGAAGGGGTCATTTTAGTCCCAAGTAAACAGGATTATCATCAAAAGTGAGTTCCTTGGCTCACGCCTGTAATCCTAGCACTTTGGGAGGCCAAGGCGGGCGGATTGCTCAAGGTCAAGAGTTCGAAACCAGCCTGAGCAAGACCCCGTCTCTACCAAAAATAGAAAGAAATTGACCAACTAAAAATATATATACAAAAAATTAGCCGGGCATGGTGGCGCATGCCTGTAGTCCCAGCTACTCGGGAGGCTGAGGCAGTAGGTTCGCTGAGCCCCGGAGATTGAGGTTGCTGTGAGCCAGGCTGACGCCACGGCACTCACTCTAGCCTGGGCAACAAAGTGAGACTCTGTCTCAAAAAAAAAAAAGTGAGTTCCTAATTCACTAGAGGATCATGGCTAATTTATATTTTAAAGTGATTTTTGAAAAGACCTTTTTTTAAGTCTATAAAGTTCCTAAGGTATAATAAAGTGCTATTTATAATTTTTAAAAGAATTATACATGTT